AGGCCCCAAGAGGCCCCCCAGAGGCACCCAAGAGGCTCCAAGAGGGCTCGGCGAGAATGCCAGAATCATTGATTTGACTTAGGTTTTGGCCACATGTTGGACTCCCCGGGTGGGTGGGGGGCACTGATTAAAGATGACTCCAAGAGCACCTGGGAGAGCCCAATACCCCAAGATGCCTCAAGATGGCTCCCACGATGCTCCAAGAAGCCCTAAGACCGCTCCAAGACGGCTCTAAGTGGCCAAAGAGCTCCCCCAGGAGGCCCCGAAGAGACCCAAATCCTTCCAAAACCTTGCGAACATGACTGTTTTGGCTTTCTCGCGTTTTCGCTCCCGATGGCCATCCGAGGCCTCAAGATGACCCAAGAGGTCTCCAAGAGCGTTCCCAAGGCTCCCAAGAGCGCTTCAAGAGGGCCCCGAGAGGCGCCCAGGAGGCCCCAACAGGCGCCAAAGATGCGTCCAAGAGGCCCCAAACAGACCCCCAAGATGCCCCAAGAAGCTCTGCGATGCACCCAAGACGCTCTGAGAGGAGCCCGGGACCGCCAAAAGGTCCCAAAGACGCTCCAAGAGGCCTCCACTGGGGGACCCTTCCTCTGCGTGCTGCCCACTTCCCTGATCGAGGCAATTCCTCCGGGCATCGTTTCTGGATGGGATGGTGAGGTTACTTTTTTTGGTCGCGGCAGCCAGCGAAGAGCGCAGGCGGCGAACAGGGTGTCCGGGCCGACGGGCAAGCCTAATTAGCTACTGGGCGCAGCACAAGCCGGCCGGGCCAGCTCACAAGGCTGCAGCTGGGGCAGCAGGGCGGGGGCTGGCTGGCTGAACTGGAACGCCCAGGGAAGCTCGAGCATCTTGCAGCCCTGAGCAAAATGCCAGGGAATTCTGTGTTACGCACTGAGGCGTCAGACCAAACAGATGGAGGTGCAAGTTGGGACAGGTGGGTGACCTGCACGTGGGGATGGTGGGGTTACGCGAAGCGTCTAGAATGTGTTGTTTCCCTCGGCGCGCGCCGAAGGAACAAACAGCGGGTCTTAGGTAACCTTTCGCCGTCGCCTTGGCAACTAAAGCAGGACGAGAGGTACGGCTGCGGCGGTACCACTGGACTGCCCTACAAGCCCGCCCCCCCCATAACGTGGCAAACCCCTAACTTAACCTGACCCAGTCCCTGTCGACACTGCGCCAAAGCTAGCCTGACCCATTAAAGCTAACGTCACCAATAGCTCGGTGTCACCGAGGTCCGGGCTACGCCACGTTAGGGAGGGATTGTACAGGGTCAACGCCGAAACCATGGATCGGGGCCACAACGGGCCGTAGCAGCCGGGCTACAGCCATCGTGCTACTGGAGGGCCTCGCCACGAATCGGCGCCCCGTCGACATCCTCGCCCGCGGCGACGGACCGTCGGGGGCGGCCAATAGTAGGGCGTCGAAGAGGGGGGGTGCAAATCATGGCCGGCGGCATGTGCGCGGCGCAATGGGGGGCCAAGGACATAATGAAATAAGAAGAGGTGCCATGAAATCTGAGGAAATATCATGGCCGACGCCATGATATCCACCCCCCCTTGTCATCACCCCCCCTCTTTGCTGCCCCCGAGACCGTCACCGTTGTTTTTTTTGTTATGGTTTGTTTGTTCGGCAACGGCGTGTTACTGTTCAAAACCTAGCAGAAGCGGCCACACCTGACGCAATCGTGAGCATCCAACGGTGTGGACCTCTGGAGAGTGCCAGGGACACTGACAAACAGACCTCGCGCACTCGAAGGACCGATAAACTTCGGCACGCGCTATGGAAATCCAGCGGAGAGAAGAGTCGTGGCCGGCACTACTCTGCAAACAGATGCATCAGGCAATTGCGCCCGTGAGTCACCAATGAATGGATCCTGGAATCAATCCGAACCAGATGCAAAATTTGAACTACATCGGATCAAAATAATGTAAATGGATTGCTACAATAATGCCCTCTCGTGAACGCTTCACCGGCAAAAGTTCTCTCACCTTACGCTTGAGGCCCTTCCTCGGAGGAGGACCCCACACGCTGTCAAGCGAGCGTTGCGATTCCAACAGATTCCATAAGACGGCTACGGCCGTGCAAGTCCACAGACCTATAGAGCTCCGTACGCTTCACACATGCATCTGGAGGAGTGATCACATCTTGGTGGTCGTCAACCCCCAAAAGACCTCCGACTGCAAAACCTGCTTGTCCTAGATGCTTCACGTAGACATTCAAATACAGGAGACCACTGTTCGTATGCCCATGGACAACTTTCAGGTGAACCGCACCGAACGCAACCCATTGTGGAATCTCGGTTGCACTTTGCAACACGCTGTAGTGATACCCTCCAACTCGTTTGCCCTCTGCCCAAGAACCGGTAACGTTCACAGCTTGGAAATACAGATCCGCGCAGTTGTCGCCCAACCTGCGTACATCGGCTTGCACACGAAGCAATGCGCCTTCGGCGTTCGTTCCACGAGGGATGTGTATCAGAACATGACTGCCTGGCTTCATCAGATCGAAACGCTCGCCATTCACGTTCTGGAGGTGAGGGTCGCCAATGGCGGCCGCGCCTCCGGCGGCTCCGTCCATGGGCGTCGGGTCGGGCGTTGGGTAGGTCGTCGGGAAGGCCGTCGGGTAGGGCGTCGGGTAGGGCGTGGGATCGGGCGTCGGTATGGGCGTCGGTGTAAACATTGTCTTGTAGCAAAACCAATTGTTACCAACTGCGTAGTCGATGCTCTCTCCAGTCATGAAGCCGCCCCCCACTAAGCACGCAGATGTGAACGTGGTGGCACTGACTAAGGCCAGGTCACTCTTGAGGCCGAGCACACGGCAGCCCGTTCCGTCCTTCTTGACCATGTATCCGAAAGAGTGTGGGTAGGCTGCGTCAGCCAATGCCATGCAATCATTGTCCGATGATACGGAGGAACACCCGTACCCTTGAACTTCTGACCCGCCGCTGGTACGGCAAGCTCCATTCAATTGGTCGTACGTAGCCTTCGTCATCACGCGACCTGCTGACTGTAGCTGGAGTGGCGTGTTACCCAACATCTCAGCAGGCTTGCCATGGAAGTCCAAACCACGGCACACTGTAAAGGCCGCCACGAGAAGGCACAGTACTCCATGAAAGGCCATGTGTTGTTCAGTATAAGTGGGATTGCAGCGTGGCTCAGAGATGTCTCTTGCTGGCCAACCTTGAGCCGAAATGGCTACGGACCCGAGACGACCGTCACCGTCTTGAGTATCCCTTAACCGGTCCCCATCTCCCCACCAGCGTGGGCTGGACCCCACTGGCCGATTGACCCCCCTAGACAGGGGATATAGGCCGTTCCCTTCGGGCTTCGAGGAGCGTATCCCCAACTAGGGTGGTAATTTGGTGGGGGTCTCGAAGGGGATGAGCATGGGGATAGGGGTCGGGTAAACGACACTGATCGTCGACCTCCTCGCCCGCGGCGACGGACCGTCCGTGACCAGCGAAGCCACGACGAACCAGCGCGCCCGGGCAGCGCGTGCTCGGGCCAGACGCTCGCCGCCACGAGCGGCGCCGTGCTGAGAGTGCCCGCCGCTCGGGCGACTCTCACCCGGCGAGCGAGAGACCGTGCCGCTCTCGACGAGCGAGAGGCCGTGACGCTCGGCGCTTCAGCCAGAGCCAAGAAGCTGTCATGGCTGGGAGGAGTACAGCCATCGTGCTACCAAAGGGCCACGCCGCGCATCTCGGGGGCGCGCAAACATGGATTGGCGATCCATGAATTTGGCGCGCGGTCGCCAAATCCATGGATCGGGGGAGGTACCCTCCCCAGAGTGCGGCCGGTGCCGCCTCGCTCGGCGGCGAACATCGGCGATTTCCCATGGAAGCGGGACACGTCGCTAATCCCAGAGTGCGGCCGGTGCCGCCTCGCTCGGCGGCGAACATCGGCGATTTCCCATGGAAGCGGGACACGTCGCTAATCTGCGCCCCCTTGATCCATGTTCGCGCTCGCCTGAGCATCGTCAGGCGGAGCCAAGAGGCGGTCGTGGCCTGGGAGGAGCACCAGTCTAGGGAGCCCACGAAAAGGACGTACGCGCCCAGCTATGTGCATGAGCACGGCCCCTTTGACTCGCGAGACCGGCCGCGCTGTACGAACAGCTGTGCAGTGCGCGCCCTCGAAACCAGCGTGGATTCATGCACATGTGCGTCCTTCTTTCGCTCCTGACAGTCGTGGGGAGGTCGGAGGGAACGCCGGGGTGGGGAGCGACGGGGGCTCCTCTGGCCGCGGAGGGCCTCGGCCACGAGCGGGCTCCCCGACCGAGATCGGGGGAGCGGCCCGACGAACAGGGCCTCTCCTCTGAGCCCTCCTCGAGCGAGGCCGTGCCACTGGACGAATCTGAGGGCCCAGGCGTCGGCCAGAGCCGCGAGGCAGTCGTGGCTGGGAGGAGTACCACAGTGGGGGCGCGACCACGTGAAACCCTGATTCTGATTATGATTCTGAACCGCTGGAGGCACTAAAAAGGTACGTCGGTCAGTCATCTCAAAACCGGGGCCCTAAGGCAACCCCACAAGAGGGGCCATAAGGAAACCCTCCACAAGAAGCCCAACTGCTGTGGGAGCGTCACGCTCTCCATAGCAAAGCCATCGAACCCCAAGAACACACAGGGCACACTGGAGGCAAGCAGGATGTTTCTCGGCATGGACCCCCACTGTACGGTCATCGTGGTACCAGAAGGGGCGCTCAGTAAGAGAAGAAGAGGCTTCTCTGGGCACGGACAGCCTCGTTCCCCGACCGGGTCGGGGGAACGGCCCGAAAACCAAAGCCCTTTCTGGACCCAAGGAGATCCGTGCTTCAACGTCTGAACTGTAGCAAGAGACCTCCCCAGAAAATCCCACTGACTTCAAACTTCGGCTGGAACCAAACCCAGACTGTCCAAAACAGTGCTGCCACAAAACAAATCTGTCAGTCGCCTGCTCCGTAATCTGTTCACTACACGAGGCTCTTGCTGACATGAAGACTCCATCAAAGGCAGAGATGACGCACCAGAGCCTCCAGGCTCATCTCGAGCAGGGAGTCCTTCAGAACCTGCAAGATCGAGACTGCGATCCTGAGCAGGCCGACTCCTTTTCCTCTCATTCCGACTCCTGTTCCTGCGCCTCCTCCACCTCCTCCTTCTCTTATCCTCTTAGGCGGGGCATGGGGAGGAGGATGCCGAGCAAGAGTCCGGTTGATGGCAGAAAGAGAAACCCCAGAGAGATGTCCCTCACGCGTCAGAATATTGCACAACCTGTTAGGGAAATTCCAGCCATAACAGCACAACGGAAATGCGGCGTAGAGATAGATGTAAGCTGCGCCCAATTCAACTGATGGCACTCGCAAGCCGAGTACATACATGTGGATTCCTTCCCCTTCTCTATATAAACACAATTTGGCATTGAAATGGAATCAAGCATACCTTGGAAACAAATGAATACAACCCATGCACGGTTTCACTGCGATCCTGAGAATCACGGGTAGACCCTCGGTGACGATGACATCCCATATAATCATGACCTGACCATACGCGCAAGCTGCTCCCTACATGCTTTCCATGATACATCACGTATGTTCCCGTCCTTTCTAGTCTGAATGTGCAACGTATGCAGTGATAACATTGTACGACCTGTGCCGAGTGATGGTGGACAACAATCCAATGTGCGACATGTCAGGATGGCCATGATCCGTCGCCCCACCATGGATACACTCCAGACGAAATCGCGAAGCACGCAAGTCTGCTAAACATCGTGGGTAAGGTGCGGGCGCACATGAATTACCCCCTCACTAACGATAAGCTCCCAGCCAACGTTTGCTCAACTGTGACGCATGCCCCTGGCGGAATGGCGGCAGTCGGGTTATCACGGAGTGCGCAAGCAGACCATGGAGAGCGGGAAGGAGTTGATGAAGACGGACAAGAACCACTGGTGAAGATACCTCGCGGCACGAGCCGCACCGCTCGAAATGCACCCCCAGCACCCCCTCCCCGAGATCAGAGGCGCTGCTGCGCGCCCGATGCCCCACACTTTCGACCCTTGCTCCCGCCCCTCCCCATTCAAGGATCGACTACAGAGTTGATGTAACTCCAGAATGTTGTTGTTCCCCGGATCTACGACCAATACGCAAAGTTTTCGCAATTCTTTACGGAAGTTCGCTGCATCTTGGTAGATTCGAAAAAACAAGCAGCTTCTGGGGTAAATCAACTGTGTAGTAGATCTCCTACTCGGGTGGTCCCCCTTTCAGACGGCGGCACCAGATGAACAGAAGGCGATCACAATCGTTCGCGCGGTGCTCTCCCAGAGTGAGCCCAAGAAGCGTCGAAGCCGTGGAGCGAAGCAGAGCACGTGAGGCAGGCTCCGAATCACAACGCCCAGGAGGGGGAAGGGTAGGGTGGGAGGCGGGAAAGAGGGGGGTGTCCAGGAGGGGGGGGTGCAAATCATGACGGGCGGCATGTGCGCGGCCCAGCGGGGGGGCCTGGGACGTAATAAAACAAGAAGAGGCGCCATGAGATCTGAGGAAAAATCATGGCCCGCGCCATGATATCCACCCCCCCCTAGTCATCACCCCCCTCTTTTCCGCTCCCGGGTAGGGTGGGAGGCGGGAAAGGGAGGGCGCTCTGCTTCGGAACGCCAGGCTGCAGCACCTGCCTTGCGGCCGAGCGCTGCCAGCTGCGCGTCCCTTCCACGGGGAGAGGAAGCCCTGCGAGAGCGCACCTCCGGTGGAAAGCGACTTCGGCCTCGACCTCCACCGATCCCATGCTTTCAATCTGCGGTCCCAGAGGTCCTGACCCCTTCCGCAGGCCCAATGTTTCGCTCCGGACTAACTGGTCATTGTCCCGGGGGCCGATAGCGAGGATCGTCGGAGATCTCGGCACCACCACCGCGCGGGCGCTGCACGACTGGTCCTTGTTTCAGCGTCTCGACTGCACAGAAACAGGGCCCCTTTTTCTCTATCTAACCTCGATGTTCCATCGAAAACCTAAAGAAAACCTAAGGCGAACTGTAAAACAACTAAGGAACACTGAGCCCCTCCCAACGAAACGGGTTCCTTCTTCAGTGCCACGACTGCAGTTCGATGCGGGAAACTATCCATATCCAACTTCTGGGGGGAGCGATCTTCGGGGACCTCGGCAAGTGGCGGATGTGGATACATTCTGGCCCCTGGGGCCTGGGACAAACAAACATCTGCTGGCCCCCTCCTGGGGCCACCAGGCTGTAGGACGAAGTTGCTGCTCCCTGCGCCAGTTGCAGTTTCAAGTCTCCAGTGTTGCAGTCCTGCTCTCTGCTTCCTGCTGTAAACTGTTGAAGTCCGCGCGAGGAGGGGGAGCCCCGAACCGCTTAATCTACCACACCCGAATTGCGTGCTCTGAATTCCTGGGGGGGGCGTGGGACACGTAAAATACCTAAGAGTCGCGCCCTCGAGACCAGAATCCCTCGTATATTACCCAATGCTCGCGTCCCAGAGGCCGCACACCCTCGTAAATTGTATAATTCTTGGGTCGCAATAGTCGCGTCCACGAAGCCATAATCCTTTCTGCAAGTTGCACAGTATTTGCATTGCCGAGACCAAGAGTGCTCCAAGGCGCCCGGAGATGGTTCCGAGACGGCCCAAGGGGGCCCAAAGAGGCCCCACGAGCGTTCCAAGAGGCCTCCGAAGAGAGCCCCAGAGGCCCAAATCGTAGAGTTTACGAAGGTGTTTGAAGGATGTTGGCCTTCTCGCATTTTCGGCTTTCCGACGTTCCAAGACGGCTCAAGAAGCTCTCAATACCGCCCCAAGGCAGCCCAAGACGCCTCCAAAAAGGCCCCAAAACGGCCCCAGAGGTTTCAAAGATGGCCCAAGGAACGCTCAAGACATCCCCAAGAGGGCCCCAAAACGGCCCAAGAGGGTTCCAGGAGGGCCCCAAGACGGCCCCAACGTGGTCCCAAGCAGGGGACCACGCACCGAATGTTCAATGATATCTGTGCCCCGAGAAGCCCCCAGGACGTCCCAAGAGGCCGCCAATAGGCCCCAGGAGGCCCCAAGAGACGTCCAAGTCGCGCCCAAGAAGCATCCAAGAGGCCCAAAAGATATCCCACGAGGCTCTAAGAGGTCCCCGAGAGGCTCCCAAACCGCCTCCAAGAGGCCCCCGAGAGGCTCCCTACGACACCCCAACACATGTACAAGAGGCCTCAGACCCACAACCCTGGCACAGTGGCGGGATGGGCCGAAGGCCACTAGGATCCTCCGCCTGCCCGTTGGCTTGCCACAGGGGTGCCTGGCGTGCCAAATCCTATCGCTCTTTTTGGTGACTCTTTTTCAAAAACGACTCTCCCCTGGGGAGTCGGCCCGTCCCGTCGGGGTGCCCCTCTCGTCGGCTTTTTCGCTGAAGATGGTTCAAGATGGCCTCCAAGATGGCCAAGATGATCAAATATGGTCTCTCATCTGCCTCCAAGGCGGCCAAGATGGCCTCAAGATGGTCCAAGGTGGCCTCCTAGGCGGCCAACGGGGGTCCAAGATGCCTCCAAGTCGGCCCAAGAAGCCTCCAAGACGGCCCAAGAGGCCCCCCAAAGGCCTCCAAGACGGCCCAAGAGGCCTCCAAGAGGACCTCCAAGAAGGCCCGAAGAGGCTGCTGAAGTAGCTGATGTTCCTTAGGTAGCTGAAGGATTTCTGGCATTCGCTTATTTTCGGCCTTCCGACGGCTCGACATGGCACAAGAGTCCCCAACGATCGCCACAAGATCGCCCAAGATGCCTCCAAGATGGCCTCAGAACGGCCCAAGATGCCCCCAAGACCGCACCAGAGGGGCCCCAAGACGCCCAAGATGGCCTTCAAGACGGCCCTAGAGTACCCCAAGAGGGCCCCCAGTCGGCCCAGAGAGGCTCCCAAGACAGCTTCCGACCGCGTCAGACAGGCCAGGAGCCCACCAAGACGGGCCAAGATGGCTCTAAGACGGCCCAAAACGGCCCAAGAGGCCCACAGGAGGTCTCCAAGACGGCCCAAGAGGCATCCATGAGGGCATCCAGGAGGCCCGAAGAGGCTAAAATCATTGATTCACTTTAGATGTCTGAAGGATTGTTGCAGTTGCTTCTTTACGGCCTTCCGACGGCCCGAGACGACCCGAGAGCACAGAAAGATCGCCCAAGAGGCCTCCAGGTTGGCCCCAAAACGGCCCGAAAGGCCCCCAAGACGGCCCCAAGAGGGCCCCAGAACGGCAAAAGAGGCCTCCAAGACGCCCAAGATGGCCTCCAAGACGGCCCTGGAGCACCCCAAGAAGGCCCCCAGCCGGCCCAGAGACGGCCCCAAGAGTCAGACGGACCACGAAATGCCCTGAGACGGCCCAAGAGGCCCCCGAGAAGCCCCCAAAGGCCCCCAAGTGGCCCAAGGAGGCCTCAAGATGCCCCCAAGAGGCTCCCAGGAAGCTCCCAGGAGGCCCCAAGAGTGCCCCAAGAGGCGCCCAAGATGCCCCCTCCTCTTCCTCGTCCTCCTCCTCCTCCTCCTCCTCCTCCTGATCTTCCCCGCCATCCTCCCCCAAACGTTCCTCCTTATGGTCCGATAGCTTGGCAGAGTTCTTGCCACAACGCTCGGCCACATGGGCGATTTCAAAAGACAGCGGCCGGCGGTCATTCGCCGTAGGCGTCTTCAAGAACGGCAACGTCTCAAGATGCGCTGATGAATCCTATCCGCCCCCGCATGATGTTCCCAGATGCGCCAAGGCAGCGCCGAGACGCACCGACGCGACTCTCTTATATCTCATTATGATAGAGCGGGGGCCAGCGGCAGGGAGCGAAGCCCTTACGGATATATACATACCCGCAGCCCGCTGGGATCCAGCGCAGTTCCAAGAAATAGGTGCGAACCCTCGATCGCGCATGTTTTTGCAATTCCCCAGTCAGTGCTTGCACTGAAGGGGTCCTGGCGGAAATTGAAAGATTTGGCGAAAATGTCCCGCCGATTTTGGTGGCTGGCTGGGACCCTGGGTTCCCAAATCCGGGTTCCCGGTTCCTGGTTATGGGCTCCGGGCCGATTTCGGTGGGTTCCGGGCTCCCGGGTTCCCGGTCCATCTCCTTATCGATCAAACCGTCCACTGCTTGGGGTTTATCTCTGGTGTAATCTTTGTTGTTCTTCTTCGATTGAGGCAAAGCCGCGCCACGCATCGGCGCCTCGTCGACCTCCTCGTCCTCGGCGCCGGACCGGCCGAGACCAGCGACGACACGAGACACCTGCATGCTGGGCGTCGTGTGCTCGGGGCGCGCGCTCTCCGCTGCGAGCCGCCGTGCGGAGCGCCCGCCGATCGGACGGCTCTCCCCCGTCGAGCGAGACCGTGCCGCTCGACGAGTCCGAGGGCCCAGGCGTCAGCCAGAACCCAGAGCGGCGCGGGGGGGAGTACAGTGGGACGCACCGAGGCATACTGATACTGCACGTCCTCCTTGGAGGCGCGCGCCCGGCCCGGACGTATGGTATACCCATCGTGCAGCACATCGTACCCCGAGCGGTGCTGCCAGAATGCGCCCGCCACGACACGCATACTGCAAGAGTTCTCGGCGTGCGCGTCGCCCCTGGGGGAGCGACGCACATACAGTGGAAGTATGTCGGGGTGACGCCGACACCGTCGTCGTGATCTCGGAAGGAACGCCGAGGGGAAGGAGCGAAGGGGCTCCTCTGGCCGAGGAGAGCCTCGGCCACGCACGGGCTCCCCGACCTAGATCGGGGGAACGGCCCGAAAAGAACAGAGCCCCTCCTGAGCCCCAAAAGCCTCTTGTCTCAACGTCTTGACTGCGCCTCTTATCTCGACGTCTCGACTGAGCCCCAGAAAGCCCGGAAAGACTGAGCCTCTTATCTCGACGTCTCGGCTGTGGCAGGAGGCGAAGAGGCTGGCAGAAGAGGGCAACGACGAGAGAGGCGCAGGGAAACGCATACATCGCTGGCCAAACGGCGCCGGACATCTGTGCAGGCCGGGCCGGCCGGGGGCACATCGCTGGCCGCAGGCCCTCTTTCATGAAGTGCTCCCGCAACTGTGGCACCTGGTCGACACGGGGCTGGGCGGGTGCTCATTGTCGCATCCGCCTCATCTCCTTTGTCTGGCTAGCGGTCGCTGCGCGCCATGCTTTCCTCCGAATGCGGGCCATTGCACGTGTCTTGATCCTCCTCCTGCTCCTCCTCGCCCTCCTCCTGCATGTCGTTTTCAGGCTTGTTGGCTGAAACAACATGCGGTCCCCTTGCAGCCCCGAAGTAGAGGAACTAAGAATAAGCACTGCGGACATGAGCTGGACGATATCGGCGAAGCGAGATTTCATAGTTACCTTCTGTGCCGAGAGCAGTATCTCCCCCTCCTCATCATAACCATGATCATGATGATCATGCTCATCATCCTCATCATCCTCATCCTCCTCCTCCTCCTCCTCCTCACCATCATCATTACCAGCACCAGCAGCATCGCCATCATCGTCATTATCACCACCACCACCATCAGCAGCACCCTCGCCACAGTTCATCAAAATGAATCATCAGCAGCAGCAGCGACAGCATCATGATCATGAGCATCATCATCCTCCTCGGCATCAACAGCAGCATCATCATCAGCATCAGCATCAGCAGCATCATCTACATCATCAGCATCACCATCATTGTCATCATCGTCATCATCTTCATCATCATCAGCAGCAGCAGCCTCATCATCAGCATCATCATCCAGATCACCATCACCAGCATCATCACCCTCATCATAATCATCCGTAGCATCATCATGTTTCGTCGTTGTCGTTACCGTCATCTCCATCGTCATCATCAGCATCGTCGACATCATCATCATCATCATCATCATCATCATCATCATCATCATCATCAGCATCGTCATCATCATCATCAACATCAGCAGCAGCAGCAGCACGATCAGCATCATCATCACCGTCACCATCACCACCACCATCACCTTCACCACTATATCATCATAACCATCATCAGCAACAGCATCAGCATCATCATAATCATCACCATCATCATGATCATCGTCATCGTCATCGCAACCCTCATCGTCGTCATCGTCATCATCGTCGTCATCATCACCATCATCACCATCAGCACCATCACGATCACCATCATCATCATCAACATCATCATCATCGTTCGATATCTTCGTCATTACCGTCATCGCAATCACCATCGCCATCATCATCGTCGCCGTCATCAACTTCATCATCAGCATCACAGCATTTACGGACACCAGCAGCAGCATCACCATCATCATCACCATCATCATCTCCATCGCCATCGCCAACGCCATCGCAATCGTGATCGCCATCGCCATCATCGTCGTCAGCATCATCACCATCACCATCATCGTCATCTTCATCATCATCAGCAGCAGCATCACCATCCTCTTCATCCTCATCCGTATCTTTATCATCATCATCATCATCATCATCATCAGCATCAGCATCAGCATCAGCATCAGCATCGGCATCATCAGCATCAGCATCAGCATCATCCCATCTGTGGGAAGAAGTCCTCATCATCCCCCCTGCGGGAGGGGGGGGAGGGCAGACCCCCACGTCGTGAGTTGTTCCGACTTGGCCCCTGGAGGTCTCGACCCCTTCCCAAGGACCGGTTTCCCGTCCCAAGTCACTGTTGACAGCCCTGGGGCCCAGCAAGGGCCTCCCAAAATCCGAAGACAGCCAAAAACACTCCCGCCATGATTTCTGTGACGACCGACTTGGCCCCTGGAGGTCTCGACCCCTTCCCAAGGACCGGTTTCCCGTCCCAAGTCACTGTTGACAGCCCTGGGGCCCAGCAAGGGCCTCCCAAAATCCGAAGACAGCCAAAAACACTCCCGCCATGATTTCTGTGACGACGTGAGGGTGTCTGGGTACGTCGCGCAAGCATCGTCCCACAGACACGTTCTAGGGTCTAGGGCGCGGTCTGGTCAGGCTAGGCGCACAAGACCGTGGCGCGAGAACGCCCGCGGAGGCCTCCAAAAATATAAGGAAAACGTCCACAAACCCCTACCCTCGATCTGGACCACCTCGGACCTCCTCTTCCTCTTCCTCAGGACGGTGCCTGGAGCCCCAGTGCAGCGCGGGGGGGGGTGGGGAAATTGCGGTCACGACATGGTGCGTCGACAGACTGTGCGGCGACCTCGGCTCCCCAAAGACCTCACTGCACGGTCCGTCACCACACCGTTCTGGCACCTCGGAGGCCCCAGTCGCCCGAGACGCCCTCGGAGAGCGACACGAGTCCCAAAATCGTCCAGCCCTTCCGAATCGAAATCACACTGGCCCACCACACGGTAAGGTTAGGTCGGGCATGTCCCCCTGCAGAGGGGATGTTGCACGATCTTTGTATCTGTGAAATTAAAACCCAACAACAAAAATCTCAGACAATGCTGAACAACAATTAGCCCCCAGTCAATGTTTGAACCATTTTTGAACATTCCTCCTGTAGAGGGACAGGCCCGGCTTAACGGTAAGGTCACCGCACCGCCCGGGAACCCCCGAAGGGGGCGGGCGGCGGGGCGGGCAGGCCGTCTCGAGCACGAGCTTGTCGCATGCCCGCAGGTACCGCTTCAGGAGCGGCAGCCTGGCGGCCCGACGGAGAGGCTTGTTCCCTCCCTCCTCCTCCTCCTCCTGCTCCTACTCCTCCTCCTCGCCCTGCTCCACTCCTCCAACCCGTCCTCGTCGTTGTCCTCCTCCTCCTCCTCCTCCTTCTCCTCCTCCTTCTCCTCCTCCTCCTCCTCCTCCTCCTCCTCCTCCTCCACCTCAGCACGTGCCGCTCAAGGAGCGGGAGGTCTGGCCGGCCTCCTCCTCACCGCCCCCTCCTCCGCACTCATCGGAGGAAGGGGGAGACGAGAAGGAGGGGGAGGAGGACGACGAGGCTGGCAAGGAGGAGGCGTTGGACTGGGGGGGGGGGGCCTGGGGAAAGACGGACGAGCACGACGTCGGTCCAATCATTACAAGGCGGCCCCGAGAAGAGGCCCCAAGAAGAGAAACCCGCAGGGGACCCACGAGCCCTCCCCCCGAAGTGGCCGAGACAGCCGGCACGCCCGCAGACGGCTCCCAAGAGGCCCACAGAAGCGACCAAGACGCCCCCAGGAGGCACGAGCAGGCCTCCGCGAAACCCTCCAGAAGCCAGGGCGTGTAAAAGGCCCCCGGTCCACGAGCCAGGCACGGCGGCGGAACGGGCCGAAAGCCACGCGCTTGAACTGAATCCGCCACCCCCTGTTGGCTTGCCACAGGGGTGCCTGGCGTGCTGAATCCTTGATGGTTTTAATTCTTTTAGAATTTCCCCCTGGGGCTTTCGGCCCAGCGCGCCGGCCACCTGGAAGGCGCGCAGACGACCTCAACGTTCGGGAAAGTGGATTCCAAGAGGGTCCAGATGGCCCAAGATTGCTTCCAAGTTCGCCCAAGATGGTCCAAGATTGCCTCCAAGACGGCCCAAGAGGGTTCAAGATGGCCCAAGACGGCCCCAGAGGCCTCCAAGAGGCTTCCAAGAGGCTTCCAAGACGGCCCACGACCAGGAAGGCCCACAGAAGCCAAAATCATTGACTGTCCATAAGTTTTTGAAGGATTTTGGCTTTTTCTCTGCTTTCGTGTTCCGATCGCCCAGGACGGCCCAAGGGGTCCCCAAAAGCGTCCCAGAGGCCTCCAAGATGGCTCCAGATGGGCCGAAAAGGCCCCCAAACCAGCCCCAAGAGGACCCCAAGACGGCCTTCCAAGACGCCCAAGACAGCCACCTAGATGCCTCCAAGACGGCCAGGAAGACCTCCCATGACGGCCCAAGAGGCCCCAAGACGGCTCCATGAGGGCCCCAAGACAGCCCAAGAGGCCTCCAAGACGCCCCAGATGGTCTCCAAGACGGCCCTGAAGCGCCCCAAGACGGCTCAGAGAGGACCCCAAGACGGCGTCCGACGGCGTCAGACGGGCCAGGAACGCCCTAAAACGGCCAGAGAGGCCTTCAAGAAGCCTCTAAAGGCGCCAAAGAGGCCCAAAGAGACCCACAAAAGGCATTCCAAGAGGCCACCACGGAAACTCCCAGGAGGCCCCAACAATGCCCCAAGAGGCTTCCGAGAGGCCTCCTCCTCCTCCTCCTCCTCCTCCTCCTCGTCTTCCGTGTGTCTCCCCTTCCTCCACGTCCCTCAAGCAATTTGGGCTCGAGCGGGTGAGGGCCCCCAGGAGGCCCACTTGCCCTCTTGAGTTCGTCCCTGGGCTTCCCAGCAGCGCTTGAGGGACTGTGTCTTTTCTGCGTGCCAGCCAAGAAGAGGCACCGACCAACACAGGGACAGACGCAATGGCGGGCGTCCACCAGCTGTGGACCAGATGCATGCAATGTCAGACGTGCGAGTGGAACGGAGTATTGGCCCGCCGCCACAACATCTGCAGCGGTTGCGGCAACGAGGTCAAGCCATTCGAGAGGAAGAGGAAACCGAGGCGAGTTCAGTTCGTGGACGAGTACGGCGACAGCGACGCCGACGGCTTCTACGACGCCACCAGTGGCAGCGAGAGCGAGCGCCCGCAACCACGGCGCCCAGGCATCCTGAAGGGCCCTGTGGGGAGCGGGCTCGGAGGCGGCAAGGGCGGCAAGGGGGGCAAGTCAGTGAAGAGCCTCCTGGAGCAGGCCCTGGCAGCCGCCACCGACTCCACACTCAAGGTGGACCTCCAGGCGCAGCTGGACAAGCTCGCCAAGGAGGAGAGCGGGCGGGAGGCAGCCAAGATCACGCCCGCGGAGGCCCTGCGCAGGGCCGATGGGGCGTGGAGGAACGCGGAGCACCTCCACAGTCAGGCGGTCAGCAATGTCATTCGCCTTCGCAGCAATCTGGCAGCTGCGGAGGCGAAAGAGAAGGCGGCAGCCGTCCACTTGGCCGAGACCACCGAGGCCAAGCGAGCAGCAGCTACGGCCTTGGCTAAGGCTGAAGGGGTCACCGAGGCCAAGCCTAGCCCCGACAGCGAGAAGAAGATCATCACGTTGGAGTGGGACGACAGCTTCTTCACGAACCTGGCGGCGCTGGACGCCACGGACGCGGAGAAGAAGGCCCTAGAGGAGCTCCGAGGCCAGTTGCAGGGCGCCAAGGAGACCCTCACGGGCAAGGAGGCCGAGATCCAGAAGTGGTTGGAGGCCATGCAGCAGCATCGGCACACCATCGAGGAGCGGGCGAAGAAGAAGAGACGCGCGCCTACTGACGGCGCACCTGAGGAGGCGGCCACAGCGGCGGCTGGCGGCGGGGGCCAGGGGGCCCCTCCTACGGCGGCGGCATCGGCGGCTGGGACCACCCCAGGCGGCGGCGGCGGCGCGGCGGCGGCAGCTGACCCCTCAGACGCCGTTAAGGCGGAGGCGGAGAGGCTGTCCGCGGCCAAGTTCCTGGCGCAGCAGGCGGCGACGAAGGCGAAGGGCAAGGGCACCGCCAGTGGTGAGGCCGCTTGGGCGCCTGCAGATACCTCAGCTTGACGGTGTCGGACGGGGGCCCCTCGGACCCACAAGACCGATGGGGGCAGGCAGTGACGAAGGGGAATGCACTAGGCTATTCTATTCGAACGTCACCTGCCTAACGGACAAGGTGTGGAAGTACGTGCAGGAGCACGTGGGAGCCTACGACCACTGGATCATGACTGAGACTCAC